CAGTGGCTCAGCCTCCTCAGTCATCTGAGTTGGGCACTCTAGGGGTACCCCTGTGTGGGCTGTGTGCACAGTCTTAGAGTTGAGCCTTGATTGCTGTTGGCATCCCTGGGAGGAATTGACCTTGAGGCCAATTGGCTGTGAGGATCAGCTGTGCAAGAGACACTCCTATGGAGCAGGTCTTGCTTCAATGGGGCTTTGGTGCTCACAAAGTTTGCCCCTTCCCCTGAGTGTGTTGCTTGTAGATGTGTAGAATTGTAATCTGGTATGTTCTGAAGTTGGTATGTTCAGATGTACTGGCTCTGGGGCCTCCTGGGAAGTGCAAAGTCAACCACTGCCTGGGGCCACCCACAGGAACTACAAAGATGTCTGCAGATGGCTACTACTTGTATTGGGTTGGGAGTGCCTAGCTGAGGCACAGAAGTAAGGCAGGCTGGTACTAGTGCTGGCTCTTGGGTCTTTTATTAATAGGTATGGGGTAAGCTGATGCCAGCTACTGCTTTTTTGAAAGATTTTAGCAAAGTCTGAAGCCTGAGCCAGGACAGGCCATTCATATGGCAAACAGCTTGAGTGAAGCTGCAAATTGAATGGGGTAGGGTCTCAGGAAATCACTAGGGCAGAGCGAACAGTGTGAGCTAGGCTGATGGAGACTCGGATATGGCTACCTGTCAGCTCTGCGAAGGTGGGGGTCTCAGCATAGGAACAATGACCCCTGCAAACACCCCTGACTGGAGAAAGCCACCCCTGAGTTCTTTCCCTGATGCCAGACAATCCAATTTCTCCCCAAATGTCCCTGGTTCCTTTCAAGCCGGCACCTCAGCACCGGAGCACAGAGGGATTGAGTCCGAGTAAGTTAACGAGCCAGCCCTTCAAGAGGAACTAGGTAAGTTTCTTGGTCTGAAATGGGGGAAGGAGCAAGGTTATGCATGTGGCCATTTATTTTCACACTATTGGCCCCAGATTTGATAAAACATTGGTGTTTCTTTATCTGGGGGACAGTGTAAAATGGAGGAGATATTATATCCAGGGCTGGAGGAGAACAAGGAAATTTACATGGAAGGAAAAGCAAAACTTCAAATAACATGGGATTGAAGAATGGGTGGGATTTCTATAGGTTGAGATGGTGAATGAGGACAAACCCCAGGAGGATAGATGGAAAGGGGAGAGAAATTCAGACCAGGGAAGGTGGTGCCAGCCCAGGGAAGCTGATAGTGAAGGGTGAGGTGGAGAGGGGGCAGGTGGGTGGATGAATGGCTAGAGCAAGCATGTCGAACTCTTGACCCATGGGGCATATGCCTTGTTTATGTGGCCCGTGTTAGCCCTTGAGTTTGACGTGTTTGGGCTAGAGCTAACAGAGGATGTTAAACAATCACTGAAGATTTCTGAGTCAAAGGCTGAGATCTGAACCACAGTAATGACAGGCTCACCTGGCAGTGAGTGTGGGATGTGTTGGAGGTGGGAGAGGCTAGAGATGGGAAAAGGGTCAAGGGGGTTATTGCAGCTTCCATAGCAGCTTCTGTAAGTTCATACTCAAATGAACCGGGCCAGTGGACCACATCGTGGTATTAATTGCCCAAAAATATTTTGATTACCACCTGAAGATTAAAATGAAATGTGAAAATAACAAGCAGAGCTAATGTGAGAAATGGAAGACCTCATATCTGAGGCCTTATCAGCTCTAAAGCAAGTCCTGAAAAATAAGCATTTATTTTTAACTTCTTAAAAGGTATGTTTGGCAAGGAAAGGGAGTGATAAGTATTCGTTCGTTCTTAAAACACCCTGCAGACATTGGTGGTTACAGGTGATTTCTTTATAGAAAGCTGGGAGGAGTCTCAGATAGTCATTTTTTGGTTTGGATAGGACCGGTTTCTGTCCTGCATGCCAACACCAGATCTGCAGTGTTGGTAGTAGCTGGCAGAGGCGGAAGTGGCACTGACACTCCAAGGGCATGGAGGCTCTGGCTTAATGGCTGCTAATGTATAGACACTTTGTCTTCCCTAGGCACATTTTGTGCAAACAAAGCACATACCGTATTTTCTGGCGTATAAGATGACTTTTGAAACTTCTGCTCAGATTGGCCAGAGTCAGAGAGGCGGTCTATTAAAAAAAGAACTGGTGTTGCCTCGGAAGTGGGGGGTAGTCTTATACAGCGAATATAGGCCTAAACCTATGATTTAACTGCAAAATTTGGGGGGGGGGGTCGTCTTATACGCCGGAAAAATATGGTATTGCTCTGCATTTTCTATTTTAAAATCAAACCTCTCGTTTTACAATTGAGGAAGCTGTTTTCAAGAGGTTATGTGACTTTTCCAAGCTCACACAGATAGTGAAAATTAGTTTGCCATGAAGGTAGGTCTGACTTCATGGTCATTGTTCTATTACTCCTAATCAAATGGGGTCTCCCTAATGGCCTTTCTTCCCTAATCTGGTATGTATGTGAGAGAAAGATGGGGAGAGAGAATGTGCATGAGCATGTGTGTTGAGAAAGTGGGGAGGGGCTGGCTTTTGCCTCTGCTAATCTCTTCCTCTTCCATGTCTGTATGGAATGGGCAGGTGGGATCAGCCTCCTCCAAGATCCAATTGAGGCCAGTTGCCAGCCAATATCTAAGGGCCCTTTACACATAGTTGGTACACGGTAGTTATTGAATTGAACTAAAATGTAGTTTTCTCCAGGAGAGTAACCTTTGGCCTAGCCACATTTAACAGGAAAGGAACAGGAAGAGGGCACTATGATGTGCCTTTGGATGACACCATTACCTGGGACTCTTGATGAAACGGTGGGGCTGTGGACTGCATTGGGCCTCCTCTAAATGCACATACTGAAGTCCTAATCTCCAGTGTGACTGTATCTAAGGTTAAATGAGGCCATCAGGGTGGGCCCTACCCTACATGATGGGTGCGAGAGAGGAGGTGCACGAGCAGAGAAAAGGCCATGCGCGGACACAGGGAGAAGGTGGCCCATCGGCAAGCCAAGGAGAGAGGCCTCGGGAGAAACCAGCCCTGCCGACAGGTCTTGCCTCCAGTCTCCAGCACGGTGAGAAAACACGTTTCTGTTGTTTAAGGTAGCCAGTCTGTGGTGCTCTCTCGTGGCAGCCCTAACAATACAGAGGGCTTCCTTAGTTATCCGAGGACTGAACTGGCAGCGCCCACAGTCCTTTGCTTTTCCCCCTTTTACTACCAGAGATTTCTGATTTCTGGACATGAATTGGTGGTGGCTCTTTCTGAGGGGGAAAGGGCCTCAGGAAATCTGGAGCAGCAGGAAGAGCATGGTCTCTGTCATTCAGAAAACTCGGTTTTGGAGGGTTGTTAGGTCTCCACCAAAGTCCATGGTCCCCAAAGAACCTGACAGCAATGAGACAAATCTACGCTGTGATCCCTGATCTGAGAATGTTCTGTAACACACGGACTTTCGGTCAGTTTTACTGCTATGGCTACTATTCAAACATGTAAATTGAGATCAGGACTCAGGGGTATACCTCAAGAACTTGGTCAAGTTCATTTCTCTGAAACAGGTAAACACCTTTTATTTCAAGAAATAATGCTTCTAGACTTTCCCGAAGCCAGAATTGTTCTATAAAAGTATTACAGAATATTACACAAGATTTAAAAAAGAAAACAGGGTATGCTTCTTAATAACTTGAAGCCTTTTTACAAAGCATATCATTCATGACCATAAATATGTTTCCTGTCATTCAGCCGGTGGCACACACATCTGATAAAGAGCTAGTGAATTTTAACATATGTACAGAGTCTACAATAAGGACTTAAAGTTATCGAAGATTCAGTTATACCATTGTAAATTATCTTTAAAAAGAGTTTACCATAAACACTTAAGTAAAACACATAGGTAAATTATGTTTTCTTTATCTGAAAGGAAAATTACTGTTAAGCTATTAATGAGAAGTTGATTAGATTACTGATAACTTTCAATGAGGTAATCCTTTTGCTGGTATTTAAAAACCTAATACACAACAAGAATGTTTTCAAGAACACATTTTGAACTATGCCTTTAAAAATCAACTTGGTGAAGGTCTTAATCATACAGGTGTTTACATTATGAAACATTCATGTGTGTGTTTTATTGGAAAAATTCCTTATATAAATTCAAAACAAAATATATTTTCTCAACCCTATTAGGCAGGCCAAGAAAACAAAACAAAAAAGTGGGGAGGGGAGAGAATCTTCAGTCCTTTTATCCTGTTGAAAATAAAAATTTAGCTATCTTAAGAATATGATGAACACTTTGAGGCTAGGCACAGAGAGAGCAAGTGACCTTTGTTTTGCTTATTTATTTTTGCTGCTAACTTATTTTTGCTGCTAACATCATTAGCCATGCTTTTTTGCTAATCAGTTTTAGCAAGTCAAGGGAAACCACATGCAATATTTTCTGGCAAAAGCGTATGTTAAACAATATGGGATCCACACTGTGTCATCTTGGTGGGGGGGGATGGTGGTGTCTATTTTAATTTGTCACACTGAGAGCAAGCAGTGAGACTGAGCAGCCAGTTAAAACAACTAGCCAAACAGACATGGCATTTAGATCTCAAAGTGCAAAATCATTGACCTAAGTAAGAGCGATGGCCTTGAAAAATTCCAGTGGTTAAAAATGAATCTGAACCACATGATGCAGGCAGTGGAAAGTGTGCTGAAAGTTTCACCAAGGACATCCAGTTTCAGAAATGCAGGAAGGCACAATTCTAGCCATCTTGGTTGGATAGCCATCTTGGTTGGATAGAATTTGTAGATGCATGTCTCTACAACTTTCAAAAGTTAATACTGTTTGAGAATCCACTAAACCAACACAACTCCAAGTTACCTTTCCTTCTCACCTTGGCACACAGTGCATGACAGCACCGGTTCCTTGTGCGTCCGCTCACATGCGCACCGGCGTCTACGGCTGGTAGGTACCCTAGGGTAGCTTGGAAGGTTGGTTGTCTTGATTGCCTTGATTAGTTTACTGATAAAAAGTTAATACTGTGTTTAGGGTAAGGTAACTATTTTGTCTAATCAGTCTCCCTTCTGTGACTTTTCTCCACCTCGTTAGACATGCTCACCATGCCGCTGGCGTTACTAGGCTGCTCCAAGGTGTACACTTGGATCGTCTGAGGAGTGGACTCTGGGTCAGAATGCACAGGAAGATACAGCTGACCTTTGGGAACATCTTCTCCTGGACCACCCTCCTGGGGAAGGCCTTTCTGGTGCCTACTGATGGGCTCCAGCTCTGGCATGTCACCACCACTGAGGTCAAGTTCAAGATGACTCATCTCTTCATGCTCCATCCATTGGTCAGTTTTATGATTTTTCCAGTGTTCAAAATTCAAACGACTAACTTCTGGGATGTCGTTATTCCATTCAAGTCTACTCTCTGGACTGAATGTTGGTCGGTTCAAATGCAGGGTTTGAAGGTCGGCTGGCAACGTCAAAGGAGAGGTTTCCTCAACCATAGGGCCTGGGTCTTCATCTGACTCAGCAGAGGCCATCTCCGCCAGCACAGAGGGCTTGGCAGACACGGCCAGGAACTCATCACTTCGAGCAGTTGTAGTCTTACTTGTTCTATTTGGCTCGTGGTGACTGTTCAGCAGTGCAAATACTCTATCTACGTCCTCCAAGTAATTAGTCCGGTCAGCCAGACTAAGTCTGTAGTTCTGTCTGTCCTCATAGTTGCTTTCCTTTATGCTGAATAAGCCCTCCAGGCCTTGCCCGCCGATGTCTGCAGTGGGACTGGGAAGGTTAACCTTCCCATCCATCCCATAACTGGCCTCTGTGGGGAGAGATGAAGATAGGTCATTAGTGGAGAAAAGATACCTACTTTTAGACAAGCAACTGACATTGTTTTTACAGAGCAAATCAATTTGAAGTATAACACTAAAAAGCATTTCACCCTAGTAATTTATTATCAAGGAGTTGCCTTTGGTTGCAATTCGGTTGCAAAATTGGAAAGAAGATCAAACAAGTGATAACTGCTCTGACCAGGCAAAGTTAGAGGCCCGTGCTTTACCCCTGGCTCTACTCAAGCCAACTGTGTAACCACGAAATCCTGTAAGGCTCTGGGTTCTGGTTCCCTCATCTGTCAAACATGGGAAAGCTTGTGTGATAAAACCTTTACTTCTTCTGGGGTTTCTGGGTAAATGGTGGGTTTTAAAGTATTAGGCAGAGCTTAGGAAGATACTTTTATTTTCTATACCCTGGTACTTTGTTTAAAATCCAAATTGAATGCAACTAAACTCTCCAAATCAAATACTTAAATCTCTCTTCGTGTGTCGTCGTCCCCCCCCCCCCCCACCCCCGGAAAATCCTATCAGAAATCAGCCTCTTAGTGGTTTTCACAGTTTGCAGAGATGCGCCCATTTTGTCTCTCAGATCTTTCTGCATCACTAAGATGACAGCAGTCGTGCAGAAAACGCCATCTTTTCTCCAGTTGTGCCCAAGTACTGTTCTAAAGAGGTGGCCTGGATTAATGCAGTAGCTAGCAATACAGATCGGCAGAAAGAAGAAGCAAAACCCCAAATCTCAGTTTAGTGAGAAGACAGAAAATTATATAACCTTCATTATCACCTGTAAGTAAAAAAAATGTCATATCACCTGTAAGTAAAAAAAATGTTAATACCAAATCTCAGCAGAGTTGGATGACACATTTTGGGCACAAACCCTAGAAAACAGTATGGATGTGAGGATGGAGCCAATAATTGATCTGAAACCATTACTGGAAAGAATGCCAACCTGAGGTATGAAATATGGTAGCGTCCTGGTACATCAGAGGTGACCTAAGGAAGGGACTTAAGTGTGCATGCATCAGGTGGCTGGGTGAGAGGCATTGCTTTTGGGAGAAAAGGATACAGAGGAAGGGAGATACACCCTTTGGAAACCAGATCATAAAGGAAAAGGAAACAAAAGAATTTGAGGCCTTAAAATTGGAGGACATGCAATCTTTCCCACTCCCATCCCCAAATAATAATAGAAAGAAAAAGTATACATGAGTACACGGCCATAAAAAGATCCTTTTACATTAGGAATTGTAAATATTTCAAACCCATGAAATTAGTAAAAGCAGCCTACATTTACACAGAATTATAACAGAAGTAAGGAATCCATCCTTTTACGAAAATGCCCAGAAAGTGAAGAAATCTGCAACATAACACTGCCAACCATATGATGCAATCAAGATCTGAGCACGTGAAAGCCACCTTCAATCAGAAATCAGTATTAGTTAAGGCTGCTATGTCCAGATGAGCTCTCCCAAAGTATCAGGATCTAGAAAAAGTTTTAAAAAAATGTAAGCATTCACAGGATACTATGCATGATAGCTCTTCTCGAATAGTCTTCTAGCAGATGAGTTTCATTCAACCAAAAAAATCATTGGGGAAACCTCAGCAAAAGGATTGGTGGTGAGCATTTAATATAAGGGGCAGGCAAAAGTAGGTTTAGAGTTGTTCATATGGAAGAAAATACAATAAATAAGAATAAACTGCAGATGGGTGCAGCCTCTGTGGAAAACAGCATGAAAATCTCCCGCACCCCCCAAAATGGAACTCCCAGTGATCCCACTTCTAGGAATATATCATAAGAGCTCAGAAACACCAATCAGAAAGGATATATGCTCACCTATATTCATAGCAGCACAATTTACAATTTGGGAAGAGCCTAAGTGCCCATCAGCTGTTGAGTGGATTAAACTGTGGTACATCTATACAACTGAACACTACACAGCTGTAGGTTGCTGGGTGAGAGGCAAGAAAGAAATATTACCATTTGCAACAGCATGGATGGACCTGGAGAGCATTATGCTAAGCAAAATAAGCCAGTCAGAGAAAGACATATCACACGATCTTACTCATGTGGAATCTAACGAACAACATACACCGATGAACAAAAATAGATCTAGAGGCAGAAGCACCAAACAGACTGTCAAACATCAGAGGGAAGGCAGGGCAAGATGGGAAGAGATCAACAATTAACTTGTATGCGTATATGCATAACCCACGGACATAGACAATAGGTTGGTGGGGGGCAGGGGCGGGCTAATGGGGGACAAAGAGGACATGTGGCCCTAACTGGTTTGGCTCAGTGGATAGAGTTTCGGCCTGTGGAGTAAAGGGTCACAGGTCTGATTCCAGTCAAGGTCATGTACCTTGGTTTCGGGCACATCCCCAGTAGTGAGTGTGCAGGAGGCAGCTGATCGATGTTTCTAACTCTCTCTCCCTTCCTCTCTGTAAAAAAAAAAATATATTAAAAAAAAAAAAAAAAAAAGGGAAGGGGCAGATAAGACAGATGCAACTTCCATTATAAAAGAAAAGGGGGACATATGTAATACTTTCAACAATAAAGATTTAAAATAAAACCAAAACTCTGCTTTGAGTACTTACAACTGTAAAGCTACTTTTGCCCCACCCTGTGTTTATCAGGTCGGGGGGTAAAGCAAAGGTAGGAGTGAGAAAAAATATTTTATATGACAAAGTGCAACTAGAAATGAGAAAAATAGAAAAGTGGAAAGAGACTGAGCTAATTCAGGGTATAGTTCAAGTAACAGTTGGGGGGTCAAAAGAACACTGTTAAAAACTGACCAAAGATAGAAAACTTGGATGCTAGTCAGCAAATTTGGAGTCTAGCTTCTTAATTCAAGTTTTGGGATTATAAAATAAAAGGTTTAGATTAAGCCCAGCTGGTGTGGCTCAGTGGGTTGAGCGAACCAAGAGGTCCCTGGTTCAATTCCCAGTCAGGGCACATGCCCAGGTTGCCGGCTCAATCGCCAGTAGGGGGCATGCAGGAGGCAGCTAATAGATGTGTCTCATCCATGTTTCTATCCTTTTCCCTTCCTCTCTGTCTGAAATTAATAAAAGGTTTATATAGAAAAAAAAACTGACCAAAGGAAAAAACATAATAAAAGATTAAATATGAAATAGGGACTAGGGATAATGATTAGGTATACGTTCAAAGGCAACCAACAGGACCAAAAGACTAACTCTATTAAGTTCCTAAGGGGGTTAAAAGGGCAACCAGCTTTATAAAGAAGCTATCTATAGAAGACAAAATGAAAAATGCAGAGAAACATAGTAGCAGATACTCAATCCAAGACAGGTCAAGTGGACTAAAAATAAATCAGAAAATACAAATAATCCGATAGAGGTTTTCATGATGAAGGAAATCTCTATTTACAATAGCAACCAAGAAGGTAAAGTGCTTATGAATAAACTTAAGAACCAGGCACCACAGGCAAGAAAACACTTCAGAAACCTCCTGAAAGCCCAGAAGTACAGGATCAGGTAGATACCCTTTGTTCTTGAACAGAGACTCCGTTTCATGATGTCATGAACATTATCTTGGAGCTTGGATGGGGAGCTTAGCTGGGCCCTGCTCCTGAGGGGGTGGCCATGGGGTGTGAAGACAGACTTACCCACCAGCTGGCATGGCTTGTCCAGCAGAGCTCCTGCTGCATTTCCGTGCCTACCTGTCCCTCTTGGCACATTTCTGTGCAGGGTTCAAAGTGCCCACGGCCGCCAGACCCTGGCCCACATTCTAACAGCTCAGACCCCGAATACCCTCATCGCCTTGGGAGGCTGACCTCGCTTCCAGCCCCTAAACCCCAGACCCTGACCCACCTCTTGGTCAAGCACCTCACACAGAAAAGCCCAGCAGTGCCAGCAGGGTGGTTTAAAGTCAATGGAGTCCGGAGATGGGAGCGCGAAGCCCGCCAGGGAAACTTTGCCATGGCAACGTGGGGCAGGGCAGTGATCGGAGGCTTTGGAGGGGGGAGGGTGGCAGACAACGGGTTTGGGTGCGGGCATCTGGCTGCCAATGAGTGATGATGGAGACAGTGGTGGTAATGATGCCTGATTTCTCTTTTTGTGCTTCTTATAAAATATGATAGCATGCTCTGAAATGAGAAGGGCGCTATTCCCTTTCATGCACTCTTCTTCATTTAAGTGTTGTACATCCCCTAGTACACCTTACTAATGCCCATCGCTGATAGGGTTTGGTACATGCCCGACTCTGGTCTCAGCTTCTTACCAGCAAGGCTGGGATTTGAGCCCAGTCTGGCTCCAGCAGATAGGTACATGGAAGTTGCATCTATCTTTTCTGCCCCTTTCCTTGTTTTATTTTTTTACAGAGAGGAAGGGAGAGAGTTAGAAACATGGATCAGCTGCCTCTTGTACACCCCCTACCGGGGATGTGCCCGAAACCAAGGTACATGCCCTTGACTGGAATCAGACCTATGATCCTTCAGTCCACAGGTCGAAACTATCCATTGAGCCAATGTGCTCTAACCACAGGGTGATACAGCCTCTAACACACAGCTATGTCACCCACATCCATCTGCCAGGCCTGGGCAGTTGCTATAGGGCAGTGGTCGGCAAACTCATTAGTCAATAGAGCCAAATATCAACAGTACAACGACTGAAATTTCTTAAACTTAAACTATACAGGTAGGTACACTGTTATTAATTTAATTAGGATTAAATTTAATTGGTATTTTGTGAAAGAGTCACACTCAAGGGGCCTAAGAACCACATGTGGCTCGCGCGCCCCGGTTTGCCGACCACTGCTATAGGGGAAGATGAATCAAAGAAGCAAAAGCAAGAGGACAGGAGCATGGTTGTCGAGGGGGAAGCGTGCTGTGGCCTGCTGGCCTGCACAGAGGGCCAGGGAGCAGCCCTGCGGCCTTAGGCTGCCAGACCTGACCGTCCGCCCCACAGCCACACGCCATGTGTGCCTGCCGGAGCCACACCACGGCGCCAGGAGCTCGTGTTGGACACCAGAGGGCAG